GCGGGGGTGGGGTGGAGTCCCCACTGGCGTGCTGGGGACGGCAAGGAGAGGAGCAGAGGAGAGCAGAGTATCTCTTTAATCTTTTTAAAAATATATCATGGACATTTTTTTAGGTGCTTCACATTCTCTGAGAATCTGATTTTAAACAGTTGCTTTGCATTCTGTTCTATGGTTTTACAGTGCTTTGTGGAACCGTTCCCATTTTTGTGAGGCTGGTTAATTCTGGGAAATATCTGGATGAGATAGGCAGAGGTCAGAATGAGCAGTCTCCCTGTGCAAGGTAGAGGCGTGGCCTGAGTTTGGTCTGGATCTGGGTAAGGTACTAGGGGGTCATAGTGGGTTCTTGAGTGGGAGAGGGGCATGAAATGTAAATGACCAAATAGATTTACCTCTGGAGCTAGGAGAGACATTTGTAGTACTAGGAACCCACCCTGCTGACCTTCTGCTGACTCTGACAAGAACATGGCTTTAAAATGCCTCATGGACGGAGGGGGACATGCCACACAGATATAAGGTTCTGTCACTCATGTCCAGTTGATGGAACCACTGCTGAAGGCTGTGGGAAAAGACTTGAGGTGCATCCTACTAAGCTCTTCGTGGAGCTTGGTGTCACCCAAATTCTGGTGTCCTGGGACCTCAGTTACTTTGAAGCTGCCTCAGGGTGTTATATGGACGGACGGATGGATGTCAGGATGGATAGATGGATGAATAAATAGGTGGATGAATGGTAGGATGGGTGGATGGGTGGATGGCAGGATGGGTGAAGAACGGTAGGATGGGTGGATGGGTGGATGGCATTTACTCTCCAGCTTCCATTCTCTTGGTTTTGTAGAAAGCACACATTTACATCACACAGGTAAGCAGGAGGAGGTCAGACGGTACACAGCTGTGTCCTTTGGTTCTGCCTCTCTGAGCCCTCTCTGTCCCGGACCTTTGGGAGCTGTGTCAGTGGGTCGCACCACGTGCTCAGTGCACAGCAGGTGTCACCTCTGTGGTGGCCTGGTGTCATCCTGCTCTGGCTGTGCCCTTCCTGTGGTCCACACATATCCCCCAGGCGCAGGCCGGGCGAGGGTTGGGGACTGTGAGGTGGTGGGTACAGGCACGGGCTCTGAGGCAGATGGCCCAGGTTTGAATTTCTTATCAGCATTCAGTAGCTGGCAACACTGGGTAAGTCACCCCAGCTGTCTGCGCCAGTGCCCCCTCGTTATCAAGTGCGGTTGATTTCCTGCTCTGGGGAGGCGAGATTGTATCATGAGACCATTCTGCTAAGGTCTGTGCACAGGGCCGGGCATCTTGATAATGCTTGATATGTGCTATCTTTTATTATTAGTATCGTTGTGCTTTGGCTGCGGAAGGACAAAAACCAGTAAGAGCTTACCTCATGGAACCAGAAGACATTAGAAAACAATATAAAAAAGTAACAATAGCCTATGGGCCAAGCCTTGTTCTGTGCACTGTATGTATGTTAGCTAATCTCGCTCCTCTGACAGTACTCCAAAATAAGCTACTTTTCTCCTGATTTTAAGGACAGAACTCTTAAGCAAAGAGAGGTTAAGTAACGTAGTGAATGTCACACAGCTAGTGAATGGCAGTGACATTTAACTCCAGGCAGTCGGGCTCCAGAGTCT